TCGCACAGTGATTGCTGGACATGGGCACCAGCGACCCCCGTGACCCAAAATGGAATAAACGGGTAAAGATAATGGATGGATGGATGGATGTCCAGTATCCAGTTATGAGACATTTTGTAACAGGCAAACTGAGTTGACAGCAAGAGGTAATACCATTATTTTAAGCAAAGATTTGTCTGACTTTTAATAGGTTTACTATGCTATGGTGTAACAAATTTCAGGTATTTAGAAATAGTGGAAATGTGCCTAATAATTGGGGGACTGCCTGTAAACAGCCACCTATTATTATCCACCTGAAAAAGGTCTTGCTTTTCTATCATCTTTAATGTGGTCTGAACCGCAATATGCCAAATGTTATATCAAAACGACCGACTTGGCACCGTGATGTGTGTTATTACTTTTATTGATGCTTCAAGTTAACATGGCAACGTAATTTGCAAACAAATATACCATTTTTCTAATTGAAAAACACAGACAGAACTCTTAGCCTCTAAAGGCTCCAGTATACTCGCGCAGACTTTTTTCCGCGCGGACTCGACGCACACTGTCCGCAGACAGTTGAGACTTTGAGTTGCTGCAGAGCAGCTCCACAGACAAGGGACGTTTACCTTCGGGACAAATTGAGGTCACCAATTGGTCATTTGCCGACATGCCTACTGGATTGATTGACAGGTCACAAAAAAATAAAAACGAGAGCTGGCAGCCCCAGCTGCAGCGGTGTTCTGTGTTTATATGATGTTAATAAAAAGTTTTTTTTTTAAATGGAGTGCTGGCCCTGCAGCCCACACATCAGACCAGCCCACCAGGAAATCTCCAGACCCTCCCGCAGCCATACTGGACCTGAGTTTAATTTGCTCGTGACATTCATTTCTCACTATTTCAGTCATGGCATCAAAGGAGGAGGAGGAAGAGGTCACTTGCCTTTTGGGAAAAAAAACTAAAGAAAAGGCCAAATCAGGGATGAAGAAGGAGAATTTAATACATTGATGTTGCATACAAAACAGTCTGTCGCGGGGCAGTTACTGTGCGACACCGAGTTCGCGTATGTAAAAATTGATCTTTGCACGAAAGTGCCCTGCGGGCGTACGCGTCAACTAATCCGGTACGTGCGGACCTCTGCAGACTCACGTACGCCTGACTGTACTGGAGCCTTAACTGCCACAGTGAGGTCACATGACCTAGAGGGGCGAGGTCTCTGAACAAAACACTGATTAACTTTTGGAGGCATTTTAATTCAATATGGCTGTCACAGCTACCTCAGAAAACTCAAAATTGTTTTTTTTTCTTTTCCCCCTTGTCCTGTCCGGCATTGTGACACTTAGAATTATTGTCTGAGTATCAAAGTGATGCCCAACAGATTTACTTTCACAAGCAGAGCATTATGGCTGGCCTCAATGCTCCACTTGATATGTAAATTAAATTTTATTAGAATTTGCTTTGGGTTGTTCCAGATGTAATGGACACGGAGACGAAAAACAAAGAAGATAACAAAGCAGAAAAGTGAGAGAAGGGTTAAAATGTAAAGAAGGAGATAGGAATAGAGGAGAGAGAGAGGGATAAAGAGAACACAAATCAACATCATTGAAGTCTGCCTCTAGACCTGCGGAAAAAAAACCCCGACAAAACCGAGAAACCACAACAACATATATAATGATACTTATAACATCATTAGAAAGTATTTTGTACAGTACATGGTAGTACAATATATATTTGATGGCTGGCCACCACAACCCAACTGAGTGTGTATCTGATAAACACCTGAATCTAAACACCTGTGTGAGCATGCTTATCACTATAAGGTTTCTCCATAAAAATGTTCAATAGTGGATGTGGGGACCCATAAACCCGTCCCCACAGGACGCCCCACTCTGGGCCCATGAGCAAGGCCCTTAATCCCCACCATGTGCTCCCTAAACAGGTCTCTCTTGAAAATGAGTTCTCGCTGCTCAATGAGACTACCTGTATAAATAAAGGCTAAATGAAAAAAAAAAAAAACACAGGGAAGGCTGGAACCGCAGACAAACAGCGGCCCCCAAGCCCGGAACTCCGGGAGTCTCCCAACAGGGACACCCGCACCCCCCAGAGAGAGAAGCAAAGGGAAGCCCCGGACGACCCCCAGCAACCACAATGCAGAAACCCCAGGAGGCCGTAGCGATGAGTCCACAGGCCCCACCGGCAACACGCCCCTCCAGAGTGGATCCGGCCATGGACACCAAGCCCTGAGTCCCGAGGTCATACCACCCCCCAACAGAGGCCCGACAGAGCCAGGGCACCCAGGCCCCCGCAGGCAGCCACCAGGGCGGGCCCGCATACACCCCACCACCCAGCCCCAGCTGCTGAGAGCCGCCAATGCACCGGCGGCAGGGGGGCTCACCACCGGAGGGGAGCACGACACACCAAATGGGGGGGCAAAACTGATCCAAGAGAGGGGGCCACCTAAAATCCAACCTGAGACATAAACAGGCACACAGAGACAGCCCGACAGAGCCCATGTCGGGCCGTCAATGCGCCTCACCCACCCGACAGCGACCGCAAGCCGGCCCCAGGCCGGGGGCCAGAGCAGCAGGGAGCAGCAGCTGAGGAAGGCCGGCCCAGCACACCAATGCATCCCTACAGCCCCACACCACAGGCCCATAGAGGCCACGCCACCCATGCACCCCCCCCACTTACACAGCACCCCCCACCGTGAATGTCACATCAGACCGACCAGCCAGCACCCCATCGAAGTGAAGCCACGCCCCCGACCACCGCCACGCACTACCAACGACCACACATACACAACCACAGCCGACCCCCTGCCAGAACCCGGCAGCCACCCCAGCCAAAGGGCTGGCCAAAACAACCAGGAACCCCAATCAAAAGATCCAAACAATCCAGGGAGAACTGGAGCACCAGCCCCACCCCCAATTGCCCCCAAGGCCCAATACCCACCCACAACACAGACCACAACCAGGCAGCCTACACCCCCTCCCCACCCCCGACCCCAAATGTCAGACGGAGAATGAGGGTTTAAGGAAAACTGGAAGACCCAACTCCTCCCTCCTCCCACTCAAATAAGATGTTGATGCATGTTGTTATATAGTGCGTTTAAAATGGGGGGGGTGAGGCGGCGACTGGCACAGACCCACCCCCTCCCCAGAGAGCAGGCAGTGCCCGTTCACCTCCCCAACCCTTGCCCAGAACCCTAAATGTCTACATGTTACATAGGAGAGTGGGCACAGGTCCTGGAGGTGAGAATGATTACACACAAAAAAAAAACAAAAAAAACTCAAAATTGACTGTAACTCAGTTATTCTTTGAGGTATTGACCTGAAATTTGGTATGATCGTAGCTGAGAGTGAGTTGTTATATATGGTAGTCCCTCGTTACGTGGCGGTTTGTTTATCTCGTACTCGCTCTATCACAATTTTTCAAAATAAGATTTGACATGACACAATTTGCTGATTGATGGATGAGCCATACGATCAGCATGGATTTTTTAAATTTAAAATAAATTCCATCCATCCATCCATTTTCTTCCGCTTATCCGGGGTTGGGTCGCGGGGGTAGCAGCCTAAGTAGGGAGGCCCAGACTTCCCTCTCCCCAGCCACTTGGGCCAGCTCTTCCGGGGGAATCCCGAGGCGTTCCCAGGCCAGCCAAGAAACATAGTCCCTCCAGCGTGTCCTGGGTCTTCCTCTGGGCCTCCTTCCGGTGGGACGTGTCCGGAACGCCTCACCAGGGAGGCATCCAGAAGGCATCCTAAACAGATGCCCAAGCCACCTCAACTGGCTCCTCTCGACGTGGAGAAGCAGCGGCTCTACTCTGAGTCCCTCCCGGATGATCGAGCTTCTCACCCTGTCTCTAAGGGAGAGCCCAGACACCCTGCGGAGAAAACTCATTTCGGCCGCTTGTATCCGAGATCTCATTCTTTCGGTCACAACCCAAAGCTCGTGACTATAGATGAGGGTGGGAACATAGATCGATCGGTAAATTGAGAGCTTTGCCTTTTGACTCAGCTCTCTCTTCACCACGACAGACCTGTACAGCGCCTGCTTCACTGCAGACGCTGCACCTATCCGCCTATCGATCTCACGCTCCATTTTTCCCTCATTCGTGAACAAGACCCCAAGATACTTGAACTCCTCCACTTGGGGTAGGACCTCCTCCCTGACCCGGAGAGGGCACTCTACCCTTTTCCGGCTCAAGACCATGGCCTCGGATTTGGAGGAACTGATCTTCATCCCGGCCGCGTCGCATTCGGCTGCAAACCGCTCCAGCGAAAGCTGTAGATCACGATCTGATGAAGCCAATAAGACCACATCATCTGCAAAAAGCAGAGATACAATCCTAAGGCCACCAAAACAGACCCCCTCAACACCTTGGCTGCGCCTAGAAATTCTGTCCATAAAAGTTATGAACAGAATCGGTGACAAAGGGCAACCTTTGCGGAGTCCAACTCTCACCGGGAACAACTGCCGGCGATGCGGACCAGGCTCTGGCACCGGTCATACAGGGACCTAACAGCCCGTATCAAAGGTCCCGGTACCCCATACTCCCAGAGTACCCCCCACAGGGCCCCCCGAGGGACATGGTCGAACGCCTTCTCCAAGTCCACAAAGCACTTGTAGACTGGTTGGGCAAACTCCCACGCACCCTCCAGGACCCTGCTAAGAGTGTAGAGCTTGTCCAGTGTTCCACGGCCAGGACGAAAACCGCACTGCTCCTCCTGAATCCGAGGTTCGACTATCCGACGGACCCTCCTCTCCAGAACCCCCGAATAGACCTTACCAGGGAGGCTTAAGAGCATGATTCCCCTGTTGTTGGAACACACTCTACGGTCCCCCTTTTTGAATAGGGGGACCACCACCCCGGTCTGCCAATCCAGGGGAACTTCCCCCGATGTCCACGCAATATTGCAGAGTCGCATAAGCCAACACAACCCTACAACATCCAGAGCCTTAAGGAACTCTGGGCGAATCTCATCCACCCCTGGGGCCCTGCCACCGAGGAGCTTTTTAACCACCTCGGTGACCTCAGCACCAGAGATTGGAGGACCCGACCCAGAGTCCCCAGGCTCCACTTCCTCAGTGGAAGACGTGCCGGTGGGATTGAGGAGATCTTCAAAGTATTCCGCCCACCGACCCACAACATCCCGAGTTGAGGTCAGCAGCACGCCACTCCCACTATAAACAGTGTTGGTGGCATACCGCTTTCCCCCCCTGAGACGCCGGATGGTGGACCAGAATTGTCTCGAAGCCGTGCGGAAGTCGTTCTCCATGGCCCGAGTTTTTGGACTGCTGGTACCCATCAGCTGCTTCCGGGGTCCCACAGGCCAAAAAGGCTCGATAGGACTCCTTCTTCAGCCTGACAGCGTCCCTCACCGACGGTGTCCACCATCGGGTTCGAGGGTTGCCGCCGCAACAGGCACCGACAACCTTGCGGCCGCAGCTCTGGTAAGCCGCCTCGACAATAGAGGCACGAAACATGGTCCACTCAGACTCAATGTCCCCCACCTCCCTCGGAGCATGTTCAAAGTTCTCCCGGAGGTGGGAGTTGAAACTCCGTCTCACAGGAGACTCTGCCAGACGTTCCCAGCAAACCCTCACAATATGTTTGGGTCTGCCAGGTCTGACCGGCATCCACCCCCACCATCGGAGCCAACTCACCACCAGGTAGTGATCAGTTGACAGCTCTGCCCCTCTCTTCACACGAGTGTCCAAGACATGTGGCCACAGATCAGATGAGACGATGACAAAGTCGATCATCGAACTGCGGCCTAGGGTGTCCTGGTGCCAAGAGCACATATGGACACCCTTATACTTGAACAAGGTGTTCGTTATTGACAATCCATGACGAGCACAGAAGTCCAACAACAGAACACCACTCTGGTTCAGATCAGTGGGGCCGTTCCTCCCAACCACACCCCTCCAGGTCTCACTGTCATTGCCCACATGAGCATTGAAGTCCCCCAGCAGAACAAGGGAGTCCCCAGAAGGTGCACTTTCCAGTACCCCCTCCAAGGACTCCAGAAAGGGTGGATAATCCGAACTGCCGTTTGGTGCATAAGCACAAACGACAGTCAGAACTCGTCCCCCCACACGTAGGCGGAGGGAGGCCACCCTCTCATTCACTGGGGTGAACCCCAATACACAGGCACCAAGTTGGGGGGCAATAAGTGCGCCCACGCCAGCTCGGCGCCTCTCACCAGGGGCAACTCCAGAGTGGAAGAGTGTCCAGCCCCTCTCAAGGAAACTGGTTCCAGAGCCCGAGCCATGCGTAGAGGTGAGTCCGACTATTTCTAGCCGGAACCTCTCAGCCTCACACACCAGCTCAGGCTCCTTCCCCACCAGTGAGGTGACATTCTACATCCCAATAGCCAGCTTCTGTAGCCGAGGATCAGACCGCCAGGGTCCCCGCCCTCGGCCACCACCAATCCCACATTGCACCCGACCTCTTTGGCCCCTCCCACAGCTGGTGAGCCCATGGGAAGGGGGACCCACGTCTCCTCTTCGGGCTGTGCCCGGCCGAGCTCCATGGGTAAAAGCCCGGCCACCAGGCACTCGCCCGCGTGCCCCACCTCCTGGCCTGGCTCCAGAGTGGGGCCCCGGTGACCCACGTCCTTGCAAGGGAACACTAGGTCCATTTCTTTGTGTAATCATCGGGGTCTTTGGGCTGCACTTTGTCTGGTCCCTCACCTAGGACCTGTCTTCCATGGGTGACCCTACTAGGGGCATAAAGCCCCTGACAGCATAGCTCCTAGGATCATTGGGACACTCAAACCCCTCCACCACGGTAAGGTGGCAGCCCAGGGAGGGGATTTAAAATAAATTATTTTACATTATTTAGCACCTGCTTCTCCTTTGTGCAGCCCACACTGCAGGAGAAATGTCCTTCTTCTCCTGCAGAGAAGTGGGCATGGCTGAGAGCTGAGTTCATGACATTCTGTGCTCTTTTAGAGTTTAGAAACATTGTTTAGAATATTGCAAGAGTGTGGAAAGGGTTT